AGAGATGGTGATATTATTTCAGCCTGTGACCAGATAATATCGGTCAAAGGTAAGACTAGGGGACCAGCCAACCAGGATGAGTAGAGTTCCCATTTTTAGGAGTTATACTTCAGCCACGTTTGCCATTTATTGTTGACTTGGTTTGAGAGAGAGAGAGAGAGGGTTTTGATTTTATTTTTTTCTTCCTTTTGTATGCCACCCAGAGTCACATTGTCTGAGTTGGGCAGCCATAAAAATGCTTTAAATAAACGAACATTACTGATTTTTTTCCCTGGACCTCAGCGGTTTTCAATACCACTGGCCTGGCATCTTTCTGGAGAGGTTGTCCAAACTAGGTTCAACCGGTTCTGCTTATACCTGGATGGCAAATGGTTACCTGAGAGCGGGACATATCACTGGTTGCTTTGGATACATCTGGCACCATCTTTATTACCTTTTTTATGCCGGGCAAAGACACTGTTAGTGTCCCAGGCTTTTTAATAATAAAGCTGCTGTAATACTTTTAACTTTATATAGCTGCTTTTTTCCTCTGTTACTGTGTTATTATGCTGCTTATTAAATACAGTAACTTAATTTAATTTATTATTTATTATTTAATTGTTTGAATGGCTGCATCTGTAAATGATTTTGAGCTGTTTTAAAATAGGATGTGTTATACATATATTTTAAATAAATATAAATAAACAACCCACCACTTCAGCGATGTTCTAAGAATATTAACTGGTAACCTTCTAAAGCATCTGGATGGGAAGTTATTTTTTAAAAAACGGATTGGGTTGCTAGAGATCTTAGAACTGAAAATGGCTCATCTAAAAGCTTGCCCTCCTTGCCCCCCATAGTAGCAGATCGTAAGCCTGAATATCATAGGAGAAAAATATTAAATGCAGGAGCAATGATCGCATTCATGGTATTGTCATTTTAATTAAACTTAAATGTGGTTTTGTCCTCCTCCCCAACCATTTCTTTGTCCTGGTCAGGCATGGCCTGGCTCACAAGAGTGGCCCCCAGCTTGAAGCAGGGTGTGCACACATGCTTTAAAGACAGATCTATTGCTGTACTTCATGCTGCAAAAAAATTAAATTTAAATTTAAAAAACTGTGCACTAGTACAGAATAGCATGAGGTGAGAAATGTCCAGTTGCATCCCAGTCATAAATAGTCTGGGAGGGACATGGTTCCAGGTTAGAAGATGTTTTTATCTTTTCTTTTTCCACTAGATCCCTAAAGTATCCCAGCTGCAGTCAAACGTGATGCATTGGCAACATAGCCATAGTCAAAATGGTGGCTAGAGGGACAGAACCGTTGCTACATTTCATGATTCATACACTGTGCTAGCCTGCAGATGTGAGTAAAACACTGAGTTCCCACATCATGCTAAGCCAAAGTGTGTGTGTGTGTGTGTGTGAATTTTATTTTATTAAATCTTTTTGCGAAAAGGGAAAAAAGAAAAACAGGAAAAGAAAGAAAAAAGAAAGCCTAGACTAAATAAACAGTGAATTTACAAGCATAATAGATTTAGGTGAAATTTTTCAATATTTCTTTAACTAGTTTAAATAACTGAGTATATTAAATTGTTTTAAAAACTACAGATCTTTGTTAAAATCATACACTGTATGTATGTATGTATGTATGTATGTATGTATGTATATATATGTAATCAACAGCAATAATCAGCACAGTATAAATCATAAAATGAGGTTAAGAATTATAGTAATTTCTGTCTACGCAGTTGAAGGTCTATCCTCATTTAACAGATTGCTGTAGGTCAGAATGTTAAGACTTTATGTTAAGAGAAACCCAAATTTTGGATGTGGTACAAGTCTATATATAGGAATATAACCCCAAAATGGTTTCCAAGTTGAGTTAAATTTACTTTTGAAAATCAAAGGTATTTTGGACCTTGAGACATACTCCCACAACTTAATTAGCAGGTTATTAAATTATAAATTAACTTAATTTCTTCTGCAGAAGGAACGGTATCTACTTTCCAATAGGAAGGGTAAAGTATCCTTGTAGCAATACAACGTACAAAGCTGGTTTGGTATACTTAGTGGGAAAGTAAGATTTAGTAATATTTAATTTAAAAAATAGCAGGTTGGAAAGAAAATTTAACTTTTTGAATTTGTTTCATTCTATCCAACCTGGTGGTTATATTGCCAACAATTTTTAGAGAAAGAACTGTCCCTTTTAGCAAATGATACTGGAGTGATACATCAGCAGTAAAACATCTTGTGCCAGTTTTTTCTAAGTATAATATTTGATGTGAATTTAATGTTTTTCTTCTATTGAAATTCCCCTTGCGGCATATAAAATATTGTATCTAAATTCTGCATCCATTTAATCGCAGAATCTTTAACTTGTTTGGTTCTGAGACATATTTCAACAAATAAGGTCCAGCAAATACTCTGAATTTGCATTAAAAGTTTTGAAATTCAGTCAATTCTTCAAGTGTTCCCGCCCATTTTTTGAGATTCTTTTAAAGCCATAGTGTTTATTGATTAAAACAGTTGAGTGGTTCTGGCCATTTCAAAGAGAGTCTCAAAACATTTTACCTTTCTCTTCTTAATAATCAAATCTTGCAGTTTATACAATTTGTTATCTCTCCACTGAGTTTCTCTGTGCTTTATTTAATAACGAGGTGAGAGGTGATAAGTTGGGGCAGACATTTTTTTCCTGTATTTGTCTCAAATTTTTAATACACTGCTTATTATTGCATGATCTCTTTATAAGCTGTTTATTTCTGTTTGTATCAGTCTAAAGATATTTGTACAAACCATCTGGGATTTTTGTTTCCTCAATAAAGGCAACTCAACCATAAAGTGATATGATCTGATCTGTAATCCAAGTTAGACAGCAAGCTAGTTTGGAGATGCTGGACCAACTTGTTCCTTCAAACCTGTAGTTAACTTAAATTTAATCCTTGGTCATTTATTAGTCCACAATATATATATATATATATCTTGTCTCTGCCCATCATTTAATACATTGGCTTCAATTTTTATTGGGAACATTTGGACAGAAAATTAAACCTTGGTAGAATGTTCATTTTAATGACTATGATTTTTCCTAACTAATGTGGTTTCAACTTTCTCCATCTTAAATATATACCTACTGTTATGTTTTTGCAATTCTGTGAAAAATTATTTTTAAATAGGTCTTTATTATCAAAGTGCGTAGTTTTTAGCTCTATGAATCCAGCTATTATGGCCTGTTAACTGGTGTTGATAGATTCATTGTATAAACTTAGCCAATTATACTTTATTCAAAAAACCATTTTAAGCAAACCAAGACTTAATATGTTATATGAACACAGCCAAATTCTTCATCTGGATGATTATAGGTTATTGTCTGAAACTTGTTTTTAGCACTGGAACTGAGATCCTTATCCTTTCACATTAACCCCCCCCCGATATTTTATTTAATCAAAAGGCTTTATTTCATTTTACCAACTAATATAAAAGGATAAGCAAATGTTTTGATTAGTCAAACTCCCCTTTAAGATTTCTCACAAAACACCTACTGTAACTAGGTACCTGCAGATGCAATCTGCTTTCTGTATAACACTGTAAAATGAGAGCTTAAAGTGTTGTTTCTCTCTCAGCTTTGTTCCCAAAGTATAGACAGACAGATTTTATTAGGCTGTTGTAAAAGATAACTTAAGTCTAACCCCCAACTTTGTGCCCCCTGGTTCTTCAGCCCTTCTGCTCCCATACTCCTCCAGCCCTCAGCCTTGCTGTCCGGGAGATTATGGGAAATGCATCTGAAGCCTAGCTTAGATAATAGGCTTGACATGACTTGAAGCCTTGAATGGCATCCATTCTCACTCCTACTATGCAACTATCACAATTATTTCCCTCTTTCCCTGGACCAGTTCTAATGAAGCCATCTGTGTTTTCATTTCCGTTGACTATGGTGATAGAAGCACAGTATGATGCTATTATCAGGGTTCATATTCCAGCAATATGAAAGCTGTCCATCCAACAGTGACATTGTTCCTTTCTACATTCACATTAATTTGATGGAGGACATCAGAAGTCTCTGAATACAATGAAGAACATGAAGTCCAACCAACATGTGGAGTACAAGCAACCCTGGATTTAACGAGAGCAGTGATGTGATTTGGAAGATATCTATATGGGATAATGTGTCACTTGAGGGAAGTGATTTCCTCTGAATAGATGCAGTTTCCCCTTGCTCACCCAATATTCGGAGACAGCAATGTGAAAATCCACCTGGATTAATAATTTCCCCACAAAGATAAGGAAACACGAACATCTTTATTATGAGACAGAAAATGAGTATTGAAATTTGCTCAAGGCATTGAACAATTTAATATAAAGTGACCGATGAATCCCTCTGGAAGGAAGAGGCTGAGAAGAAGGATGTGGAAACCTCAGAATGGAATAGATCTTCACTGGAAAGGCCTGCAGCTATAAGTAAATCTGTGCCTTGGCTGGTAGGGGAGTGACTACTGCTGTAGCGGGTAATGCAATTAGAGACCTACAGAGGAAGTAAATTCAGATGTAAGAATACAGTCAGCAATGACCATCAACACTTGGCTGCCTGTCACTTAAGTATATGTCCCGAATAAGACACCCCAGCATGGCTTTACCGTATATCCAATAACTATCAAGGCCTTTGGCTATACAAAGGTGGGACCTGCACCTCACATTAAACTACAATGTGGTTTAATTTCTCTTAGCATGTTGTGTGAACCCATCACTATAATTTGTTGGCTTAGTTTGTTGTGGGAGTCAAGTCACTTGTGGCTTATTCAATAAATCATAATTAAACTATTGCTTAATATGATGTTTAAACCCAAGCAGAAAGTTCTTCCTTGTTAGCCAAGACAGTTGTCCCTTACCTCTTTTTCTGTAGACTCTGTAGATGCTCAGAACGACACTGTAGGCCAAACTTTTGGCCACCAGTAGGAGGAATATAAAGTGCCCTGCAGAAAGGCTGAGCTGCACCTCAGAGATGCCTGAAGCTGCTGATGACGGAAGAAGGGAAGAGGTCACCGTTGTAACAGAAGCTAGCAGCCTGCTCCAGGGCATTTCAGGCTGATATTTTAATACCCCCCCTCCCCCATTCAGCTCGCAAAGCTTGCAACCCCAAGCTTTGAGTTGAGTTTGCAAATCATTCCGCTGAATGTTAATCCTTCCAATAAATAAGCCATAGGTCTTGGTCAGTTCTCTTAGACAGTTCATCTATTCTGTCATGCAAAAGTAGCATATTGTACATTTTAAAATGTGATTTGTTACTGGTACTTCTAGGGAAAATTGTTTGCAGGATTTTTGCCTCAGCCATATGCCAGAACCACTTGGCTGTTGGGGACTGTACAGGGACGTGTGTGTGTGTGTGTGTGTGTGTGTGTGTGTGTGTGTGGGGTGGTGGGTATAATTTGCCATTTTGCCATAATTGCAAAATAAATTGCTCTTGGCCAGCCTTCTTCCTTGTAAATCCCTGACTTTACACAGATGATCCAATAATAAACAGCTATTTAGCTGGGGGAAGCAGATGTGCTTGACCACTTGTAAATTGACCTCCAAGGCCCAGGAAGTTTTCTCTTCCAGAAAGGAAGAAAAGGCCATTTTCCAGCCACGTCTTCCAGACTGCAGAACTCAGCCAGTTGGTTCATTCCCACTGCTGCTTGCTCAGTTGCCCAGCATTTGCTTACCTGTCTTCTGGCCTGGCTTGCTTATCACCCAGTCATATTTTTCATCCAACCCTATTTGGCGGACATGGCAGGAGTAGTTGTGGCCGTCCTGCCACTCCTCTGCCAGCACACTCAGGCGACTGGCAGTGGCAAAGTTGCACTTCCCTTCTTCCTGGACTGGCTCAGTGGCAAAGGAGAATTGGTGGCGAATCTCTTGGCCGTCCCGCTTCCAGGTCACATTCAGTGGCCACTGGTAGGGGAAGCCCTGGGCCAGGCACACAAGGGTGATGCGCTTTTTCTGGCATAAGGGGCTCAGGAGAATGGCTTTTGGTGACGACTGTTTATTTTCACACTCTGGATCTGCAAGGGGAGAGGAAATCATGTCTTGACCCTTATAGCCTGAGCCAATCCCGACCTGTGATTAGAAGCAAGACTCAGAAATGAGGCAGCCTGCCAAGAAAGAAAGGTTCCTTCTCAGTCTTTTGAAAGACTTGGAGTGACACCAGATATTCCAGATTGCAGTTCCATAATCCCTGGAAATATACTGGCAGGGTTATATATATTGGAGGGCATGAAGTTGGAGAAGGCTGAACTCCGGTTTAATTACATCACTTGCTACCACTTGGATGGATGCTTCCACTAACCAGATCAGTTATTGCCAACGATACCCTTGAATCATATTAATGAACAGGATGGCTAAGTCAGAATAAAGTCTCTGATTTAATTCCAGTGTATTTTCAGAATTGTGAATGATAACATCCATTTCCTTTGGTTGGGTTTGCTTTTAAGACTGTTTACACTGAAGCACTCCTTAAGTGAACATTTTTCTTTAGTTTTTTTAAAATTTAAAGTAAGAGAAATAATTAGGTCAAACAAATGCGAACAACAATGAAATAAACTAGCTCCAAACTCAGTTGGGGGTGTTGTTATTTTAACTGTTGAACATCAAGGTGTGGTCTTGTGACTACTTTTTAAAAAACTGCTTGTATAATCTAGTTTTTCTTTATTTTACACCCCTTAAAATGCACTGAGAGCCAGTTTGGTGTAGTGGTTAAGGCACCAGGCTAGAAACCAGGAAACGGAGAGTTCTACTCCTGCCTTAGGGACAAAACCAGCCGGGGGGACCTTGGGCCAGTCACTCTCTCTAAGCCCTAGGAAGTAGACAATGGCAAACCACTTCTGAAAAACCTTGCCAAGAAAAATTCAGGGACTTGTCCAGGCAGTCATCAGGAGTCAAACACTGACTCCAAGACTCCCCCTGCCCCGCCAAAAAAGGGGGGCTCCGTTTCCTCGTTCAATTAATTCAGCCTTCCCTAACTTGCAACCTTCCATGTGCCTTGGACTGCAACTCCCATTTTCACCAGCCCTGGGGATTATGGTAATTGTAGTCTGAAGAGCAACTGACTGGGAAAGGTGGCATCAAATCTGTCTGAAGCAATAAGAGCTGCCTCTGAGTCTGAGTTTTCTTACAGCAGAACAGCTCAGAATGCTCCAGCGGCCCCAGTCCAGACCAGATCTCAGCCCCTTGACGCTCTTTCCAGCTCCCGTTAGTGACCAGTCTTTCCCAATAAAAGCTCTAGTTCTCAGAAAGCTGCGAAAACGGCTCCTGATCGGGAGGACCTGCTCGCTTGTATTCGGGAGCGCAGCCTCGGATCATGTTGCAGGGTGGTTCCTTCCTCCCCGGCTGGGGATTCAGTTTGCCCTTCGCCCAGGTGGACTGATCTGGGGCGTCGCTGACCCTCCCCTTGCCCCGCTGCACCGGCAAAAGCAAGCGAACAGCCCTTCTGCTGCTGAAAGCCGCCTTAGCAAGGGGGCTAACAAGAAATTCCCTCGCTTCTCCTCCGCTGCCCCCCCCCCCCGGCACGCGCGCTTTGATGAATCCTCCTAGAATCTGTCGGGACCTTTGTGCCGGGAGCCAGCGGACACGTTTGGCGCTCCCTTCGCACGTCTAACAAAAGGCGAGCGCGGACTGTCCGCCAGAGGCGAGCAAATCCAATTTTGCCGCCCTCACCCCTCGCGGCAATGAAACACTTTCCCCCGGTGATCTGATCCTCTGCCACTCCCCGCCCTGGAACAAACCAGACTTGGTCCCTGGCATACAATCGGGGCACGGGGAGAGATGAGAGAGAGAAAGCGAAGCGGAGCGCTTTCGGACTTACCTTCGACCAGGATTAGTGTCCCAGTCGTGGCGAAGTAAGCTTGGTCTCACAGCGCTGCAGTCTTTCCGGGCGCCTTTACAAAATCTTCTCAGCTGCCTCCGAGCCTTTGGAGGCCTGCGTCGGCACTCCCCTTCGCCCACGGGTCTTCCCACGCCGAGAGGGGTCGGGGTTAGAGACCGTTCCGTCCAAAAAGCGGCAAGAATCCGCACTCCGCTCGGCCAAAGGCATTGCAAACGCCCAGCCCGGCGAGAGGGCGGCCGGCCAACGGGGAGCCCTCGCTTCGCATTCGGCAGCCTGCTAGACGGCCCTGCGCCCCGACGCCCGTCCTGCTCCCTCCAACTTCTTCTCCCGGAGGCGGCCCCGGGATCCGAACCCTTCTCCGCTGCTCCTAGCCGCCCCGCCCAGAGCCTCGCCTAGCCACCACTATCAGACGCGCTTTATACCACCGTGCGCTGTACTGACACAGCCAGACGACGCGCGGCAAAAACTTCCTCCCGCTTTTTGCGCGCAGCCCCGACTGCATCCCGAGCGTTAATTCACGCTGCCTCCGCCGACGCCGTCTCTGGATATTAG